GCAGACGTGTGTGTGTGCGTGCATGCATGTGTGTGTACGCTTCGCTCTCTCCTCCTGTAGAATACACTAGAAGTGGTTAGGTCTAATAGGAAAGGTTGAGTAGAACTAGGAATAAAAGGAAATAAAGCTGTACTGTGCTGTTCTCTTCCCTTCCTCTCCTTCAACACAGTTTAATATGTGAGTCATGCATCAGGTGCAGTGTACTGTGAGAGGACATGAATCACAGTCCCACTGACTGCACATGGTACTACACGCCTGACACTCAACTGTGGTGTGGGAAATGCCAAACTGTTCACAGAGGGGATAATGATGGATGGCTCTCCAGCTCATGGTTTTGTAGGGCTCACTGACAAAATGGGATGGATACAATGAGGTCCCTTAATGATCTGCAGATGCAATGACAGACAGACACGCACACAAACACACACACACACACACACACACACACACACACACACACACACACACACACACACACACACACACACACACACACACAGGGAGTGAGATAAAGAGCTAATGGCCACCTTCACTTAGATGTGAAAGCAGTTTGCCAACAAAAACTGTCTGTACATCTGTGACTCAGTGTAACAAAGCCAGCTTTTACACTGCCACTGTGAGGAGTCCACAGCTGAGACCTGGGCTAACTCATTCGAGGAATGTGATGGAACAGAGAGGATGAGCTGAAGAGAGAGAATAGAAGGATTGGTGCACTACAGTTGCAACAGTATAAATGACTGGTATTCCTATTAACTTCTTAACAGATTGTCTTCAAGGCTGCCTTTGGTTATTCAAGTTTATATCACCAGAACAATAAGAACACTGAAGCAAATGTACAAGAAAACCTTTCTTTGCAGAGAAACAAACTCTCCTGTAAACAGCCTAGCTATGGTTCAAATTAACGTTCTGAAATCATTTAACACAATCATTGTTCTTCAACTGTTATTACATGAACTGTAATTGTACTATCAGCTCATTGTTATTGCAGTGTAGAGGGAGCACACCAGTGCTTCATTTGAGCCAGATCCTGCCGGAACAGGATCCGGCACATCTCAGATTTTACTTTGTTCGTTGCCCGGATCCGGTACCTAATTGTTTCACTGTTGGCACATAAATATTCTATTAAAAGCAATCAGCGTTAAATCAAGTTGCCTCCTCGTTATTTCTCCCGCCCCCCAGAAAGACCATCACGTAGAGGGCTACCTCATTCATGGAGGCTTCCAGCCTCTATCTGCTGACCCTGGACAGCCACGGCTGCAACCGCAAAGTGACCCTGCACTGTCAGGAGAGAGAACTAGTGGGAGAGCAGCCAGGGCCCCGAAATGGCCACACCATCAGCATGGTGCACAGCCGGGGGAAGAGGGCCTGCGTTGTGTTTGGGGGCAGATCCTACATTCCGGCTGGGGATTCAGACTACTGAGAACTGGAACAGAATTGTGGACTGCCCTCCTCAGGTGTTCATCATCAACCTTGAGTTTGGCTGCTGCTCCGCCCACACCATACCTGAGCTCACTCATGGCCAGTCCTTCCATCTGGCTCTGGCAAGAGACAACTGTGTCTACTTTCTAGGTGGCTACACTCTGTCCTATCACTCCTGTCCTCCTTGTGTGTTCCACCTGCGGGTGGAGTTCCTGCACGTCAGCCTGTAGGAGCTCCTTGATACCGGCCTGTCCATCACCAGTGCCATCGCCAGCCGCATGAGTACATCGTCTTGGGTGGGTATCAGTCAGAGACCCAGATGAGGATGGAGTGCAGCAGTGTGGTGCTGGATGACTCTGGAATCCGCATTGAGCCCAGAGAGGCCCCTCCGTGTACCGGGGAAATCAGCCACAGCCACACCTGGTTCAGAGGCAGCCTGGGTGGAGGGAGCGCTCTAATCAGGGTCCCCTCTGAGGGCAGGCAGACCCTGCCCGACGGCCATTACTTCTACCAGGTGTGCTTCCAAATAGAGGGGGAGGACCCAGGGCTGCAGCCAGGAGTCAACAGCCTTTGAGGACTTCGCTCCTCTGGAGGAATCTGAGGAGCTGTACTTCGGCCGCGAGCCCCACAAGCTGGAGGACAGCAGCAAGGGAGAGGAGGACACGTACAACGAAGAGGACGAGGAGGATGAGTCCCAGACAGGCTACTGGGTTAAATGCTGCCTGGGCTGCCAGGTGGACCCCAACACCTGGGACCCCTACTACTCCACAGAGCTGCTGCGGCCAGCCATGATCTACTGCTCTAAAGGGGAGGGAGGCCACTGGGTCCATGCCCAGTGTATGAAGCTTACTGAGAGCCTGCTGGTGAGGCTCTCACAGGGCACCAGCAAGTATCACAGGGGCCTGCCCCGCCAGGAGATGACCCCGCCACACCAGGTGCTGCCCCTGACGAGGAGCCCCACGAAGCCCCACGAAGCCCCACGAAGCCCCTGCACAGGAAGGGCCCGATGATGCTGAAGATGACCCCCTCCAAGAAGCGCTTCATCAGAAGGTTTTTTAAGTGATGTCTGACCATGACCAGAATTACACTTATTCATAAAAATATATATATATGTTTTACCTTTATTTAACTAGGCAAGTCAGTTAAGAACAAATTCTTATTTACAATGACGGCCTACACATTAATTGATCAACTGATTAATAAACATACAGTCAGGTCCATAACAATTGGCACCCTTGATAGAGAGGAGCAAAAAATACTGTATAAAATAAATAATACAAATACTAAGCTACATTGCATGCTCAAATTTTATTTATACTAATACAATTTCTCAGAGAAAGAGTAATAAAACAAATCTAACCCTAACCCATTTTAGCCAAAAATCTGGTTGCCTCTGCCAGGAGGCTGACACTTGGCCGCAAGTGGATCTTCCAGCAAGACAATAACACCAAGCACTAATCAAAATCCACAAAGAAATAGTTGATTGACCACAAAATCAACATTTTGTAATGGCCATCTCAGTCTCCGGACTTGAACCCCATTGGATATAAGTCTTGATGGCTGTGTTGTGTTAATCCTCATTTTTGGCAGACATTTTTCAGAGGAAGTTTTTAGTACATGAGTTTTGTTAAACCAAATGGACTTCGGAAGGTAGGCGCATAATGTCTGGACTGGCACAATTGTATTTAAACCAATGGAGGATAATTTATTTTCTGTGGTTGAATGTTTCTGAGGCCATTCACAAAATATGTTATGATTAAAACTTGTTTTTATTCACCAGTTCACACAGTAATTACATATTAATTGCCCCATCTGTAAACCAACACATATGCTCAGTTATCAATAACATAATCACAGGAAAGTTTAATAGTATGATACATTGTTTGCTACATTGTAGAGAGGTATATGCACATTAATTCAGTAATCATCAAACAATAAATAGGTAAATAAAACCACTAAATCAAATACACATTAAACAAATGAACAGTGAATAAATGTGCAGTAGGGTACATATTGTTATTTTCATTTAAATAAAAAAGAGTGTTTTGGCAACAGTTGTTATTTTCCTGAGTTTAAATGTACTCTTGAAACATGACAAACCAGCAGATTGAATACACTGCTGATATGAGATTCAAACAAACCATATTCATCATCCTTCATGTAGCAAATGCTATTCTATAAATGAAAATACATTATTAAACATACTGTCATGTAAAACATGATGTTATTGTGTGACTGTGATAACTGTTAAATGAAATATGATACATTATGAAAATATGTACACAATATGGTTAAATTCATGACAGTAAAATAGAATCAGAACATTGAATGCATCAAAAATATATATTTTTAAATTGCCTGTCACAAGTCAAAATGGTGACGCAGAGATAAACAACATCAATCAATCAAACAAATAAACTATCAAATCAATTCAGTTCCTCTCAATGCTCTCTTCCTTCCCTCAGTTTAATTTTAAAGTAAATGGCTGTGCTAAGCCCCAGAAGAGTCATAGAGTCAGGGCGTGTGAGGATTCAATAAAGATAATCTAAATATTTCTTGAGGCAAGCCTAAGGGTGTTAGGCCTAGTAGTGTACCATACAGCATTTTCATGCGATCAACGAAAAGGGCAGTTTATATTTTATTTTATGAAAAGAGGTAGAGTGTTATCATTTCTCATTCTCTGTGCAAACGCTAAAACAGATACAAATGGTTTCAAAGTCACCTAGGCATCCATTTTGGCCCTTGGGAACCCGAATATAAACTCTAAAGCAATCTGTTTTAGAAGGCAGCCCCGAAACAAATACAATTTGAGTCTCCATGATTCCATTTTGCTCCAGCCCTGGAGATAAATTAATACAGCGATCATAAATGTGAGCTTCTTTAACACAATTCTCCCATTACAGTGCTTTTATTTTCTCCCATAAATAACCTCTCTGGATAAATTCATGGATGTGTCATAACCCATGCAATACAATAAACTGCCCCATATTTCACAGGCACCCAGAGATAAAACACCAACTATCTTCATGCTAAAAGCAGAGGAGAGGAAGTGATGTCTGATCTCTGCACTCAAATCATTAACTCAAAATTAACAAATATAAAACGCCAATATAAAATGCAGAGGCTGAGAAGGACATTCAGCCACCTTTCGGAAATTATGTATGAAAATGAAATGTAAGGTAGAAAGCCTTTTCAAATTTCCTCAAAGTAAATAATGGATCAAATAACATTTTTAGGATTTCAACAATAAATAATAATGTGTATTTCGAGAATAAAGTATTTTCCCCCTACGTCACTACTAATAAATATATACTGCAGTTCATATTGTAGAGTAAATATTAAGTTTGAAACAGAACAGTACAAAACAGACTAGAATCAGGTATACTGTTGCTAAGACATATTCCTGTCATAATCCATAAAGTCCCAAAGAACTGTCAAATCAAAACAATATTTTCAAAAGTATGGGACATCTAGTGACATGTCAGCATCCTCCTTGTGTCTCCTGACTCTCTACAGGGTCAATAGTGGCCTGCACGGCTTTAGCATAGTTTTTGTGAGCCTCCATGAACTTATGCAGGTACTTAGAGGTGTAGAGCCAGTGGTGCTTCAGCACGTCTTCCAGCCCTCTCCACGATCTCCAGCACGTGGGCCAAAGTCTTGGGCAGGTAGTTGGTGATCTTGCCATCATACCTGTACTTGAAGACAGTGGAGAGCAGCTCTACGAAGCGCTGGGAGTTGAAGCTATACCGGCAGAGCTGGTCTGGGCACTCCCTGGCCGGGCACATGGAGAGCCACACAGGCTTCATCTGGAGGTAGAGCCCCATCAGCTCCCTCAGGGCCTCCTGCCGCTCCTCTAAGTGCAATAGCTCACACACCGCCTCCTCAACTTCATCTTCTTCCTCTGGGTGGCCCGCCAGCTCCTACGCTGCTCCTGGCAGGGGTTGGCATTGTGGTAGACCTCCCCTATCTCATCCTGGAAGATCTTGTAGAACTCGGTGGCGTTGCCGATATTGCAGCGCAAGGCGTCCAGGGTCGGCTGGGTCTCCATGAAGGGCTTGGCAGATGCCTTTGACCTGGTCTCGCAGCTCCTCAGTGGATTCAGAATAAGGGTTGGTCCTCCAGAGCTCGTAGCACTCCACCGTGGCTGCAGGTAATAGAGTAGAGAGTCATGTTGTGGGAGGCCTCTGCCCGAGTGGCATCACACAGCATGCAGATGTAAGTGGAGCCTGAAGCCTGCAAACCCTCCATATTTCGCACCTTCTTCTCGTTGTAGCCCGTGCCCCTGAAGTGGAAGCCGAAGGAACGAGAAAGGCCGCCCACAGACAGAATGAGACGGCTGTGCTTCATAGCGTTCCTTTTGGCCACCACAGGCCCCAGGACTTCTCTGAGTGTCTCGTGGTCTGACTCGTCCACAAACATCAGACAGAGCAGCTTGCAAGACATCTCTGAGTTGGGCTTGAGCTCCCGGAAGATGGTGATCGCCTCATCTTCTCCCTCAGCCTTTATAGAGACGGACATGATGGTGATGGAGAAACGCACAACCTTTTCCGGGATGGCTGGCCCTCCGCCTTGTCTCACTAAAGTCGCCCATGCCATTGTAGGACTCCTTGATCATGACGCTGAAGCCTGAGATACAGGTGCTGTCCTCCAGGCCTCGCTCCCTCAGCCCCTCCATGATGTCCTCCTCCAGGTTCTTCAAGGCCGACACCAGGGCCACATCGTATCATCGGAACCGGCAGAGAGAGAGAGAGAGAGAGGAGAGAGAGAGAGAGAGAGAGAGAGAGAGAGAGAGAGAGCATGAGAGCGACGCTCTCTCCATTCTCATCGCGCCGACGACTCAGGGCCTACTATCGCTCGATCGAACCGGCAAGAGCGAAAAGAGTAGAAGAAGAAACAAAGGCATGTACCAAGACAGAAGTCCACAAGCTAATTCTAGCACTCTGCTGATAATTTCAGTAGGGAATACCTCTTAATTGCACCCCTGCATTTGTTGTCATTATAAATGTTATGCCGGGGACAGCGGGGTGAATCAGTGAAGCTGGCATAAACTGATGTATTGGCTGCAGATGAAAACAGACTCCAGCTGGCCTCTATTCCCCAGAGTGGAGGACTGTGCTGCCAGTATAATTTGCAGATACAAGTGCTGCTGATGTTGTTTTGAGCCTAACAGGCTCTTGACAAAAGTTGTTATTGTGCATTAGAGAGAGAATGCAAAGGGGAGCGACAGAGAGATGGGGTGAGAGAGAGGGGGTGTGAGAGAGAGAGAGGAGAGGTGAGAGAGGGAGAGAGAGAGGGAGAGGAAAGAGAAGACAGACTGTGTATCAAGCTTTTTCATTTACAAACATCCCCTACAGTGCGTAGTTGTGAATGTTTATGCAAACTGTATCTTTGAACATACAATACTCTAATCTTAACAATAAGTGAACCAAGGCCTGTGATTACATTAAATCGTGTTGGTTTTATGTGTGAGCCCCTGAATGCCCAGACTCCAACCTTGCATCATGGCCTCCAGTTCGTCTGCCTGCCGGTGTTCGTTTCCCTCCCTCAAAGCTAGCACAAACAGGGTCAGGCACACCGACTTGGTGTCTCCACCTTCCTCCTTGTCTGCAGACACCTTCACCTGGGTCTTCAGGTCCCTCAGCCGGTGCTTCTGGGCGCGCCTCGTCAGTGACAAGAGATGCTGTCGGGGCCTACCCCTTTGTTGACAGGCAGGAAGTTGTCCAGGCTCTTCTCTGGAGACCTGCGGCCACCCTCCTCTTCTTCCAGCTGATGACCCAGGCAGTTGGCGCTGAAGGAGTCCAGCTGTATCCGCTCCCCACAGCTCTCTCTGAGGCAGAGGAGCGGCAGGGAGTGCAGCACCCCAAGGAAGGCCTTAGCCGGGGCAGTGAGGTCGACAGGGGCGCAGGGCAGGGTGAAAGCCGGGCAGTGGAGGTCCAGTGAGCAGATGTATTTAGTGATGCAGCTGCGGCAGAAGAGGTGTCTGCAGGGGGATTGGACGGGCTCAGACTATTAGGTTGGGTGGGGGACTCAGGTGCAGAGACGGACACACGGACAAAGAGAGTAAAATTAGGATGTAGTTTATTCAACGTGTATTGGCAGAGGTAAGTAGTCAGGGTGGAATAGCTTCAGGCTGGGGTAGGAGCTGAGTGGAGTGGAGAGCCAGTAGTCCTGAGAGCTGGATAACGAGGATATCAGGCAACAGAGGAGCAGGTAGCGGCGTGGGAATGGCAGGCAGGCAGGCAGGCAAGCAGGCAGCAGGAACAGACGAGATCTGGTCGAAGGAGAGACAGGTTACAAAACGTGGCAGGAACAACAATAATACTGAGAGAGTACAACTACACTGAGAGTGCTGTACGGGCCAAGTTACCACTGGAAGTGTAGGAACGAACTGGCGCTGGAGAGGTGTCCAGCCCGGGTAGATATCTGCTGCTTGATTGGTGCCAATGAGCTGCAGCTTGATGTAACTGATCTGATGATAGAATGGCCACGCCCGCTGACCTAGAACCTCTGACTGCACAGCAGGGGGAGACAGACACAAACAACACACACAGGGGAGAAAAGGGAAAGGAACACCAACAGGAACAGGACCAACAGAGCCGGACCGTAACAGTACCCCCCCCTCAACGGGCGCCACCCGGCGACCCACCCGGCTTGTCAGGGTGGTCCCTATGGAAGTCATTCACTAGCTGAGGATCCAGAATAAAACGTCTGGGAATCCAGGACCTCTCCTCGGGACCGTATCCCTCCCAGTCCACCAGGTACTGAAGCCCTCTACCACGCCTTCGGACGTCCAGCAGTCTCCGAACCGTGTAGGCTGGATGGTCGTCAATAATGCGCGGTGGCGGAGGGGGATCCACCGGCGGACACAAAGGACTGGAGGAGACCATCTTCAGCTGGGACACGTGAAATGTAGGATGGACTCTCATGGCCTGGGGAAGCTTCAACCGAACAGCCGAAGGGTTGATGATGGATTCGACCTCAAAAGGACCCAAATACCGGGGCGACAGTTTACGGGAGTCAGTGCGCAGGGGGATGTTGCTGGAGGAGAGCCAGACTCGCTGACCAGGCTGGAACTGGGGAGCGACTACCCTGTGCCTGTCCGCCACTCTCTTGTTGCGCTCTGCTGTCCGTAGAAGGGCCTCACGGGTGTCCACCCACACCTTGCGGCAGCGACGAAGGTTATCCTGAACTGACGGGACGGTTAACTCCTTTTCCTGAGACGGGAACAATGGCGGTTGGTACCCCAAAGCCGCCTCAAATGGTGAAAGGCCGGTGGCAGATGAGGTGAGGGAATTGTGGGCATATTCGACCCACGGGAGATGTTTGGCCCAGGTGGACGGGTTCTGGGATGTCACACAGCGTAGAGCAGCCTCCAGGTCCTGATTGGTCCTCTCAGTCTGGCCATTGGACTGGGGATGGAACCCTGATGAGAGACTGACAGAGGCACCCAGAGCAGAACAAAACTCCTTCCATACCCGAGAAATGAACTGTGGACCTCTATCGGACACTATGTCCACAGGTATTCCATGGGGACGGAATACATGTAGGACAAAGAGGTCGGCCGTCTCACTGGCAGACGGTAATTTTGGTAATGCAACAAAATGGGCAGATTTAGAGAATCTGTCCACGATGGTGAGTATGGTGTCATTACCCTCAGACATAGGAAGTCCAGTGACGAAGTCCAAGGCCACGTGAGACCAAGGACGACTCGGGACTGGGAGAGGCCGCAGCAGGCCCGAAGGAGCCCGGTGGGAAGCCTTATTTTGGGCACAGATGGAGCAGGCCGCCACGTACTCCCGGACGTCAGTCTCGACGGATGGCCACCAAAAGTGCCTCTTCAGTAGCGACAGTGTACGGTTCATACCAGGGTGGCAGGAGAAGCGCGAGGTGTGGATCCAGTTGAGCACTTGCGGCCGCACTGCTGCGGGAACATAGAGAAGGTCGGGGGGGCCATCGGCCGGTCCAGGTTCCGACTCTTGTGCCGATCGGACGAGGGACTCGATTTCCCAGTGAACCGCCGCCACCAAACAGGAAGCGGGAAGAATAGGTTCAGGATTGCTGGAGTCTTCATTGTCTGTAAACTCAGCCAGGTCCAAGTACTCCTCAGGGACTGAAGAGAGGTCTGGGGTTTTGACAGGGGAAGCAGGGGAACCTACCGAGGGCGGAATAGCCGACCCAAGGCAAGCAGAATGGCAGTGAGTGCTCCAACTGTGTATCTTGTGGTTTTGCCAGTCAATATGGGGGTTGTGAAGGCTAAGCCAGGGGAAACCGAGGATAAGGGGGGAGGCCGAGGAGGAGACTACTTTAAACTGGATGGTTTCTTTGTGATTGCCGGACAGCATGAGAGAAACGGGGACAGTTTGGTGGGTGATGTTGGCAAACTGACGGCCGTCTATAGCGGTTACTGTTATAGGCTTAGGCAGGGGCTTAACAGGGATCTCCGCCTGAGTGACCAGGTTAACGTCAACAAAATTATCCTCAGCACCAGAGTCAATGAGAGCAGCTAATGGGAGAGACAGATTCCTGAACTGGACTGTAGCTGGGATAACTAGACGGGGTGCTGTGGGCATTGAGTCAGGTGTAGCACTCGCAAGTACGCCCACTTTTACCTGCGAGCTTTGTCTTTTTGGGCGAACCGGACAGTTAATCAGGAAATGAGTGCGGTCCCCACAGTACATGCACTCACCAACCCGCATGCGCCGTTCCTTTTCGGCAGGGGACAGACGAGCACGGCCCAGCTGCATGGGCTCGTCTAGTTCCATGGAGGGATCCGCTGAGGTGTGTGGGCGGTGTCCGAGTGGTGATGTTGCTCGGGTTGCAGAAAGCGAGGGAGCCCCGCCTGCGGTGTGGACCCGACCGCCCCTCTCCTGTCTCCTCTCCCGTAGCCTGTGGTCTATTCGTGTAGCAAGGGAAACGAGAACATGAAGGTTAGCAGGCTCTTCACGAACAGCTAGTTCATTCTTAATCGTGTCACTTAACCCGTTAACAAACGCTCCCTGAAGAGCTTCGTCATTCCACTTGGAATCGGCTGCCAAGGTCCAAAAATCAATGGCGTATTCAGCCACGCTACCCATGCCCTGTCGTAGCTTCAACAGTCTCTTTGTGGCGGTCCCGGCATGGTCCGGGTGATCAAACACAACTTTCAATTGAGAGGAAAAATCGTCAAACGACAGGCTGGCGATCTGCTGAGTAGAACAAGCCGCTTCTGCCCAAATCAAAGCTTTGCCCCTCAGTAACCCCAGAGCGTAATGTACCTTTGAGGATTCCGTGGAGAAGGACAGGGGCTTCTGTTGGAACACCAAGCGGCACTGAAGCAGGAAACCACGGCACTTGTTCAGGTCCCCGGTGAAAGGTTCGGGTGAGGTTGTAGGGGGTTCCCGAAGGGCAGGAGCGGAAGCCGAGCCTGGAGCCACTGTAGGAGGAACAGGCGGAGGAGAAGCAGAGGGAGAAAGGGTAGTGAGTGTTACCAGGTTAACTACCTGAGAGGTGAGATGAGATACTTGATCCAACAACTGCTGGTTGTTATCCAATAGAGTCCGGATGAGTTGGTCGTGTTGTCCCAATAGTACTCCTTGTGAATGGAGGGCGTGTTGTACGCCATCCTCCGTTGTTTCATGTGGCATCTCTGCTGAGTCCATGTTGGGCCAGTTCGTTCTATTAGGTTGGGTGGGGGACTCAGGTGCAGAGACGGACACACGGACAAAGAGAGTAAAATTAGGATGTAGTTTATTCAACGTGTATTGGCAGAGGTAAGTAGTCAGGGTGGAATAGCTTCAGGCTGGGGTAGGAGCTGAGTGGAGTGGAGAGCCAGTAGTCCTGAGAGCTGGATAACGAGGATATCAGGCAACAGAGGAGCAGGTAGCGGCGTGGGAATGGCAGGCAGGCAGGCAGGCAAGCAGGCAGCAGGAACAGACGAGATCTGGTCGAAGGAGAGACAGGTTACAAAACGTGGCAGGAACAACAATAATACTGAGAGAGTACAACTACACTGAGAGTGCTGTACGGGCCAAGTTACCACTGGAAGTGTAGGAACGAACTGGCGCTGGAGAGGTGTCCAGCCCGGGTAGATATCTGCTGCTTGATTGGTGCCAATGAGCTGCAGCTTGATGTAACTGATCTGATGATAGAATGGCCACGCCCGCTGACCTAGAACCTCTGACTGCACAGCAGGGGGAGACAGACACAAACAACACACACAGGGGAGAAAAGGGAAAGGAACACCAACAGGAACAGGACCAACAGAGCCGGACCGTAACACAGACAGCAGGTGGTCACACACCTCACAGGTGTCTGAGCTCAGGAAGTCCACAGGGAGGTTCTCGGTCAGCAGCCTGGCACTCAGGTGCTCTTTTTGGCAGACGGTTATGCTCTTCACCCACTGAGCTCTCTGGAAGCTGGGTCTCACCCAGGGTCTAAGGCCAGGTCCCTGGTGGTGCTCTGTCTCTGTTCTCCAGGCTCTCTTCTCCCCAACAGTATCAGCATTATCCTGGACGTCCCACTTGGTCCTCTTGGCCAGGTGTTGGGACTCCACGAGGGGGCTTCCTTCTCTTCCTCCCTTTCCGCTGTAGGGAGGGTTTCAAAAGGGGCAAAGGTAGGCAAAGGGAGCAGTGGGTGGTGTGGGGTCTCCACTCAAGGACATGGGTCCTGGAGAAGCTGCAGAAGCCCCCTCCTCGCATGGCCAACGTCCAGCAGCGCTGGCAGAAGGATGGGGGGTGGACAGTCTCCATGTCCCCCGCCACATCCACTTTGAAGACCTTGAGGATGTCCTCTGGCCAGCTGGTGGCCTTGCAGGGCACTCCTGCTGGCCTCATCCAGAAGCCCGTGGACCTCATGCTCTGGACCTTTGGCTTTCCTCAGGGCCACTCCACAGAGACGGCACATACTGTACACCTGCACACACACCGGAACGTTACGATATTACATAGACCAAAATACTGTCTCTCTGATCTTCAATTACTGTATGTCTTAAACAGAGTGAAAGTACACTTCAGAGATTGTTGCTGATTAACAACCACTCTACTTCTTCACTGGCCTGAGGTGGGTCATATGTGTGTCCATCTCTGGCAGTTTCAGATCCACTCTCCTCCCCAGCCCCTCCACGTTCTCCTTGCTCTTACACACCAGGCACAGCCTCATCACATTCCCTGAGATACCCACCATATCCCCCACCATCTCCCCCAGGAGTGGAGTGGCCATGACCCCAGACAAGGCCCCTCTCTCAGGCTGTGTCTACCCAGGCAGCGGGGCCTTTTCCATGGACCTGACCCGGAACAGCTTGAACTTCCAGTCTGAGAACTTGGAGTAGGAGTGATGGAGCTCGGCCGGCATGGGGGGCATATGTCTCTAGGGTCCCCTCCTCCATAGTGAGGAGAGGAGAGGAGAGGAGAGGAGAGGAGAGGAGAGGAGAGGAGAGGAGAGGAGAGGAGAGGAGAGGAGAGGAGAGGAGAGGAGAGGAGAGGAGAGGAGAGGAGAGGAGAGGAGAGGAGAAATGGGAGTAGAAGCGGTAGGGGACACGTTAGTTTGATGAATAGTCCTAGTCCTACCAGTATAACTTAAATCTGGTGGAATTTCTATAAAGTGGAGATCTGAGATCTGTATTATAGTTCTGTATTATACCATAAGTTGCATCAGAGAGCAAATTATTCCATGACATTCGGGGGGGATCTATATATTTTTTACGGAACCTCCTATGTGTGCCAAAAAATGTATGGGCCTAATAGTAAAGACATGTCATTTAACGGTTAAAATGTATTACCTTTAAATTTGGCATGAACATAACCAGTCATGATCACTTCAAATAGTAGGCTACCTGCGCATGTTCTTCCACTCCAAAATAATTCCAGCATCCAATTCCGCGCCATTATGAAGGAGACATCTGTTACAAAATACCAAAAAGTGTAATGACATTCGACAATTGTACACTTTTGTAGCTTGAATTAATTGATGCATCTTGCTGACAAAATGACCTTTTCTGTAGAAAGAAAATAGATACAGGACTGTACCAGGATGACAAGTGCAGCCACATTGGGATAATAAAATAAATAACATGACACAGAGGTGGGGGTGTTCATTTAATTTGGAATAAGCTTTTATTTTAATATTTACCACTGTAGTAGCAGTACAAATTGCATTTTAAACAAAATAGGAGAATGGTTAAATTAGCATTATTTAGAGATCCCCAAAGATTAACTTTGTTGCATTTAGGGGGACTCATGTCTCATTCAGGGGGTCTAATTATATATTTTTTAATGTCACATACACCAGATACTGTAGGTGCAGTGAAATATGTTGTTTTACAGGGTCAGCCACAGTACTACAGCGCCCCTGGAGCAAATTAGGGTTAAGTGCCTTGCTCAAGGGCACATCGACAGATTTTTAAACTTGTCAGCTCGAACACTCTAACCGCTAAGCTACCTTCCACCCTATGTGCACTCTGAGTGGCATTTAGATCTTCAGTAAAATGCATGAGACATTCAGCGATCGATCCACTGCCAAAAAAAACATTATTTCTCTCTTCCCCCAATTCTGGTGCTCAGAGAACTGCTGTGGTTATTTTTGCCTTGGACACAGTGACATTGCTAAATGGACACCCCTATCACTGGAGGACTGTCAATCACTTCTATTAGTCATTTTCTTGGCTGGAGAGAATTGAAGCCCTAGGAGGCTTTGACTGGCATTTAGAGCACCCAGAAAAATAGAGGATTTTTTATTTCAGAAAGAAGGGTAGGCCTATATTTTTTATATGCCATTCAAATTCAGAGGGAGTTGTTCCAAGTGGACCCTGAAGTAGTTATTGTAAAGGGCTAAGACTTCAAAAACAACTGTTGTCCTCATTCCCATAGTCAATTTCCTTGTACATATGCAGGATCTTAATTTGATCGCCTTGTCGCAGGAGAACTTTCCTGCAATGAAGGAAATAAAAACTTGTAGTGTATTTTAGATTTAAAAAGGCTTCTGAAGTTTGTAATTTCACTTTGAAATTTCAGACTTGATTTTCCCTTATGAAAAATGTATCAACCCCTACAAAAATGTCCATTAATTATAATCCACATAATAATTCACATTTCCTGTTGCTGCAGGATTCTTTTGCTGCTGTAGCAAATTAAGATCCTACATCTGTAGCTCCCTTATACAATAATGCCATGTGACTACCGATGTACATTTGCAATGGTATGCCAACCCATGTCCATTCATATACACTCAAGTAGCTCCACTATCAAATACATCAATTAAACCAATCAATGAAACAACTATCTGACTCTTACCATGGCACACCTATGGTGTGCCCATAGTGGCATTTTCCCTATCTCCATCTCTGTGTATCTATTTTCCCAGTGTGTGTTCTCCCTGGTTAGTTTGGCAGTCTGCTTCACTCCTAGCTCTCTGTATCGCTCAGACTTTCCACAGAGTCTAACAGCTGAGCCAATGTGTGTGTGTGTGTGTGTGTGTGTGTGTGTGTGTGTGTGTGTGTGTGTGTGTGTGTGTGTGTGTGTGTGTGTGTGTGTGTGTGTGTGTGTGTCAGCTGGGCCCTTTTCTTGTTCTTCGGTCTCAGCTGGCGTCAGTTCCCCTGGGGCTTCTCTCCACATGGGGGCACAGGGGAAGCCTTGGAGCCACAGCCTGCACAGTGTGCATGTATGTGTGTGTTTGTGTCTGTCTCTGGGCCTTGGGCTGATTCTTGGCTTGGTGTGTCTCCCACTATGGATTGTTACTCCATGGGAAGGATCTCTCTCTGTCTGTCTCTCTTCCTCCCTCTGGTATTTATACCCTGTGAGGAGACCCCAACAGACAAACACTGCCACCTGAGACACTCACAGCAGACATACACACACACACAAACCCAAAAACATATCCATAAACATCAAAACACACACCTTCAAACATCAACACAACACACACACACACATAAATACACAGACACTACCAGTACACTAATGCTGAATCTCACAAACTCCTCACCAGGTGGGTACTCCTCTGTCACCCCTCCCCCTTTACCACCCTCCATCTGTAAATTCAACTCAACCAGGTGGTACAAAACGTGGAAGGGGGAGTGGAGAGGTTACCAGTGCAGGGTTGTTATGGAGAAAACAGTATATAGTCAGTATAACCCTACTTTCACACAGAGGAGCAGTTGCACAGTTGTATAGTCTGTGTAGTTTTGATGTTTCTTCGAGTCAGTGTACTTAACATTCCAAATGTATTAGTAATCCAATTAAATAAGATCAGAGGGAAGAATGCAAACTTAATATTGAGTGTGCAATTGCAATTGGACAGTGAACCTTTTTTAATTCATCAGATGAATGCTGGTTCCAGTCTTACCAAGCAGATAGAATGTTTTAAATGACAAGATCACTGGAGTGTGGAATTGATCCTTCATTGGATTCCGTTACACTTTGGGGCAATCAAGCAATCCCTTTCAATTTTGTCTCCAAGCAGCCTCCCTCCCTGTCTCCATGTCACGCCCTGGCTCTGGGGACTTTGGTATGTTGAGCCAGGGTGTTAGTTTCTTTGTGTAGTGTCGATGTTTCGTTTTCTATGTTCTGTTCTAGGTGATGTGGTTCTATGTTGGCCGGGGTGGTTCTCAATCAGAGGCAACGAGAATCAGCTGTTGCTTGTTGTCTCTGATTGGGAACCATACTTAGGCAGCCTGTTGTGCACTTGTGTTTTGTGGGATCTTGTTCCGTGTATGTTTGTGTTATTGACCGAGGACTTCACGTATCGTTTTGTTGTTTTGTGTTGTAATTAAAAGTACCTATTAAAGTATGTACTCATATCACGCTGCGCCTTGGTCCACTTTTCATGACGATCGTGACAGAAGATCCCACCAATACAGGACCAAGCAGCGTGTCCAGGAGCAAACGCCGGAGGTAACGTTAGTGGATGTCCTCCTCGGTTGGGGGCACATCACGGAGGAGGAGGCCGTCCGTTACCGGAGGGTGATGAAGGGGGAGACCCAGGCAGGAGAGGAGAAGCGGCGCCAACCGGGCCGTCGTCGGACAGGCGAGAGGCACCCCCAATAATTTTTTTGGGGGGGGCACACGGCATGGACGACGGGGCTGCTGGAGGCAGATAAAGGGCGAGTTTGTGGACGAGGAGAGAAGGCCACCAGGTTATGGGGGCCATTGGTCAGTAGAGGGAAGGAGAGTGTAGAGGCACGGCGAGAGGTACTGAGGTGTGTTACCAGTCCGGTCCGGCCCGTTTCCTGATCCCCACACAAGGCCAGTGGTGTGTGTTCCCAGTACGGTCCGGCCTGTTCCTGTCCCTCGCACCAAGCCTGTGATGCGCGTCGCCAGCCCGGCCCGGCCTGTTCCTGCCCCTCGCACCAAGCCAATGGTGCGCGTCGCCAGCCCGGCCCGGCCTGTTCCTGCCCCTCGCACCAAGCCATGGTGCGCGTCGCCAGTCCGGCCCGGCCTGTTCCTGCCCCTCGCACCAAGCCAATGGTGCGCGTCGCCAGCCCCGGCCCGGCCTGTTTCCTGCCCCTCGCACCAAGCAATGGTGCGCGTCGCCAGCCCCGGCCCGGCCTGTTTCCTGCCCCTCGCATCAAGCCAATGGTGCGCGTCGCTAGCCCGGCCCCGGCCTGTTTCTTGCTCCCCGCACCAAGCCTGTGGTTGCGCGCCAGCCCGGCCTGTTCCTGCCCCTCACACCAAGCCTATGGTGCGCGTCGCCAGCCCGGCCCGGCCCCTTCCTGCTCCCCGCACCAAGCCAGTGTTGCGCGACGTCAGCCCGGTCCGGCCCCTTCCTGCTCCCCGCACCAAGCCAGTGGTGCGCGACGTCAGCCCGGTCCGGCCCGTTCATGCTCCCCGCACCAAGCCTGTGGTGCGCGTCGCCAGCCCGGTCCGGCCCAGTCCCTGCTCCCCGCACCAAGCCTGTGGTGTGCGTCGTCAGTCCGGCACAGCCCGTGCCTGTTTCACCGGTGCCTGGTCAGGTAAGCCTAAGCAATCCGCTCCACCGATGTCCAGTCCAGCTCCAGCCAGCGGGGCCAGACCAGACCAGGGGCGCTACGGGGGGGTTGTTAGAGGGTGGTGGTCACGCCCGGAGCCGGATCCCCCTCCGAGGAGGAATGCCCACCCGGCCCCTCCCCTGTTGGGTTTATGTTGGCGCGGTCGCTGCCTGCGCCTTTGGGGGGGGGGGGGGGGGGTACTGTCACGCCCTGGCTCAGGGGACTCTTATATGTTGAGCCAGGGTGTGTAGGGTCTATGTTTTGTGTTCTATGTTCAGTTTCTAGTTCATGTGTTTTCTAGGTTGGCCGGGGTGGTTCTCAATCAGAGGCAACGAGAATCAGCTGTTGCTTGTTGTCTCTGATTGGGAACCATACTTAGGCAGCCTGTTGTGCACTTGTGTTTTGTGGGATCTTGTTCCGTGTAGGTTTGTGTTATGACCGAGGACTTCACGTTTCGTTTTGTTGTGTTGTTGCTAAGTACTATTAAAAGATGTACGCATATCACGCTGCGCCTTGGTCCATTGTGTATGACGATCGTGACACTCCATTATGACTGAACACTAATTAGAAAGCATTGCTTGATATACTATCTCCGTGGAGACAGATAGACAGACAGTATTTGCCCAAGATCCCTCTTGTTTAGCACCTTGCCACGGGAGCCCCTCGCCTTGCCACTGTGCTGGATCTGCCCACCTAGTCATTAGACACACAATAAGCAGGCCCCAGCAGCAGCAGTGGAGTCGTTTGGCCTCTGTTCCCTCCTACTCATCTCTGCCTTCAACAGACATGGGAGGAGGAACACAGACTGTGCCGTTTGTTGTGTAATGTAAACAGTACTGTATAGTGGTGGGGTTTGACGGTTGAGAAGGATGTTAGGTCAAATCTAATAAATTGTATTTGTCACATGCTTCGTAAACAACAGGACTTTCCCAACAATTCAGAGAGAAATATTTAGAAAAAATAATAACACGAGGAATAAATACACAACGAGTAAAGATAACTTGACTATATATACGGGGTACCAGTACTGGTTTGATGTGCAAGGGTATGAGGTCATTGAGGTATGTTCATGTAGGGAGGGGTAAAGGGACTAGGTAACAGGATAGATAGTAAACAGTAGCAGCAGCATATGTTAGCTATTTGGTTAACTATTTAGTGGTCTTATGGCTTTGGGGTAGAAGCTGTTCAGGGTCCTGTTGGTTCCAGACTCCGTGCATCAGTACCGCTTGCCGTGCGGTAGCAAAGAGAACAGTCTGTGACTTGGGTGGCTGGAGTCTTTGACAATTTTTAGGGCCTTCCTCTGACCCTGCCTGGTATAGAGGTCCTGGATGGCAGGAAGCTTGGCCCCAGTGATGTACTGGGCCATACGCACAACCCTCTGTAGCGCCTTGCGGTCGAATGCCAAGCAGTTGCCATATCAAGCGGTGATGCAGCCAGTCAAGATGCTGTCAATGGTACTGCTGTAAAACTTTTTGAGGATCTGAGGACCCTTGCCAAAACCTTTCACCCTCCTGAGGGGGAAGAGGTGTTGTGGTGCCTTCTTCATGACTGTGTTGGTGTGTGTGGACCATGTTAATTCCATAGTGATGTGGACACGAGGAACTTGAAGCTCTCGACCCGCTCCACTACAGCCCCGTCAATGTAGATTGGGGCGTGCTCGGCCCTCCGTTTCCTGTAGTCCACAATCAGCCCCCATGTCTTGCTGACGTTGAGGGGGAGTTGTTGTCCTGGAACCACACTGCTAGTTCACTGACCTCCTCTCTATAGGTTGTCTCATCGTTGTCGATGATCAGGCCTACCACTGTTGTGTCATCAGCAAACGTAATGATGGTGTTGGAGTCGTGCGTGGCCACGCAGTCGTGGGTGAACAGGGAGTACGGGAGGGGACTAAGCACATACCCTTGAGGGGCCGCCGTGTTGAGGGTCAGTGTGGCGGATGTGTTGTTGCCTAGCCTCAGCAAAAGGGGCGGCCCGTTAGGAAGTCCAGGATCCAGTTGCAGAGGGAGGTGTTCAGTCCCAGGGTCCTGAACATAGTGATGTGCTTGAAGGGCACTATGGTGTTGAACGCTGAGCTGTAGTCAGTGAACAGCATTCTCACATAGGTGTCCCTCTTGTCCAGGTGGGAGAGGGCAGAGTGCAATAGAGATTGCGTTATCTGTGGATCTGTTGGGGTGGTATGCGAATTGGAGTGGGTCAAGGGTGTCTGGGATGATGGTGTTGATGTGAGCCATGACCAGCCTTTAAAAGCATTTTATGGCAACAGATGTGAGTCCTACGGGGTGATAGTCATTTAGACAGGTTACCTTGGCTTTCTTGGGCACAGGGACTATGGTGGTCTGCTTGAAACATTTAGGTATTACAGACTGGGTCAGAGAGAGGCTGAAAATGTCAGTGAAGACAGCGCATGTCAGTGCATGCTCTGAGTACGCGTCCTGGTAATTTTTCTGGTCCCTCGGCCTTGTGAATGTTAACCTGTTTGAAGGTCCTACTCACATCGGTTCAGTGTTGGTTGCCTCGAAGCGAGCATAGAAGGCATTTAGCTCGTCTGGTAGGATTGCGTCACAGGCAGCTCGAGGCTGGGTTTCCGTTTGGAATCCATGATCGTTTGCAAGCCCTGCCACATCTAACGAGCATCAGAGCCGGCATTGTAGGATTCGATCTTACTCCTGTATTGACGCTTTGCCTGATGGCTTTTCGGAGGTCGTAGCGGGACTTTTTATAAGCATCCAGATTAGTGTCCCACTCCTTGAAGAGGCAGCTCTTCTAGCCTTTAGCTCAGTGCGGATGTTGCCTGTAATCCATGGCTTTTGGTTAGGATATGTACGTACGGTCCCGGGGGGGGGAGGGACGTCGTCGATGCACTTATCAACCTCTAAAATTCTAAGCCGTTGGATCATTTAGCTATTTGATTTAGAATTTTAGCACCCTTTTAGGTAAAAAAAAAAGTATAAAGAAATTATTTGATAAACTATTGAATTTGGCCTTTACTACTATAGCCCATAGAAATACATAGAATAATACATTCATAAATAGCAAAAAATACAGCAAAAAAACACATAATAAGG